TCTCAAACGGGGCTTGGGGCAAAGTGCCCCTTTTGTTCCCCTCCCCACTCTGAGCATCCCTACTGCCAATGGTACATAATGTGTACACAGCTGCAGGCACCTTTTGTCATAGCTGCAGCAGCTGCCGCTGCTTCCCCGTTCAGATTCAGCAGTGCCTTGAGCATAGCTGGAAGAGAGGCAGGTGGCTGTCTGAAGTGAGGCTCCACAGTGGCCTCTACTGGCTGTGAGAGAAACTGCAATTTCTGCCCACAGTTCTACCCTCAATCCGAGCTGCAGGGGTGTGTGACTAATATGTCTGCTACATGTGAGAGTGTCACACAAGTTGCATCACACTTGGCAGTCCTGCCATCCGGGGATCCTTTCAAAAGTTTGTCAGCTAGTTAGATCATGAAGGCTTAGGCTTCCATCCCAGATCATCAGAGTATTCACCAACTTTCATTGGTTTTTAAGTACTTCATGTAGCTAAAGATAGCTAAAGAAAAAGGGCCAGGAGAAAGTGCTGTGCAACTAATAATACCACAGGATCAAAGGCACTGTATTACCTGAACATCTTTAATCTATTCCTGACTAAAGTACCTTTGCTATACATAAAGGCCTTTTCAAATGATGTTGACAGTGCTGTTGTAGCCGTGCTGGTCCGAGGATATTAGCAAAACAAGATTGATGAGGTAATATCTTTTACTGGCGCCAGTCTATGGCTCTTGAAAGGAACCCTACAGACAACAATATACAAGAAACTCAGGGATCACCGCACTTCCCTTCACAGAGCCAGTAACCACCCCAAATACACGAATAAATTTGTAATCTACAGCCAGGCCCTCAGATACTACAGAATGTGCTTCGAGGGGAAAGTCTGGTATACATAACTTAAAACACTTAAAACCGTCTTCACCAAATAAGTACATTCTGCCAGAGAAATAGATTGCCTCATGGACTGGGCCACCCAAATACCCTGAGAGAAGCTGCTTCAATTGTGGGGGGGGGAGGGAGGGGAAGAGAATCACCAACCACACATGCCTAGTTGTCACCTACCATCCCACAATGTTAATCAGTGAGTACCACAGCTTGAAAGAACTCTTTCCCAGACCCCCTCTTCTGGCCTTTAAACAACCCTCCAACCTTGCCAAGCCAAACATCAGAAGCAAATTACCCACAGACCAGGATGTACCAACACAAAGCAGCACCAGACCCTGCCAGAACAACAGATGCAAATGCTACGATGATCGATATCCCCACAACACACCTGTAAAGATCCCTGGGTCCTACACATGCCTATCACAACATGTGGTGTATCTCTAGTGCACTAAATGCCCCTATAACAACTATGTGGATGAAACAAGACACTCACTATGCTCTTGAATGAGCTCAATTGTGGTGGGGAGAGGGGTCAGCAAAGGGACTCATCATGTGAGTAAGAACTGCTCTCATGAGTAAAGATTTGCAAGTGTGAGCCCTCAACTTTGACTCTAATATTGGTGAGACATAAATTATTAAAGCAGAACCATTTGCCACATCTGGCAAATATACCTCTCCTAGGATGACACGCTCATCACTAGGATGAACACCATAATCTCCTCCTACATCTATCAACACAGAAAGAGGCTCTGGGTAAGCTCTGGGTGGTAATAGGCAGACTGAAAAAATGGCACTCCATTTACTTCTTATGCATCTTCTGATGTGTATCTTTTCTTTTGTAAGTGCTCATATGTCCCCCACAGTACAGTAGTGTCTGAGCACCTCACCATCTATACTGTATGTATCCTTACAGCATCCCTGTGAGGTAGGTTAATAGTGTTAGCCCATTTTACAGATGGCAAATTGAGGCAGAAAGAAACTGAGTAACTGACTCAAGGTCGTGCAAGGAACAAATTTGCCAGCTACACACCCATAGCTTCCTCTTACCTCTCTGCTCTTGTACGCTCCAGTGTATGGAGGATGGTATAAGTAACATAGCAAAGAAAAAGAGTTAATCCTCAAGATGTGTGCACCAACATCTTCGACACCTCCACATTACCTTATTACTTGTGCTTTTCTCCTTCTCTCCCCCCAATGTTTGTTCACATCCTTCATGCATCCTGACTCTGTAGGCTTGATAGATGTGTTATGGTAATTACTGAAGTACATTAAATATGAAGCTGTTGTTGGGACAGAGGACACATCTTTTATTTATCTGCAATGCATAATTTATCGAGCTACAGAAATAATAATAAAATAAATGCTGCAGATGAGTTATGAACATTATTAGTGTACATTGAATATGCAACTCTAATGTGTGTAACCCTTCTGCCAGATGGTATAGGCAGCAACAAGAGGTTTAATATGCAGGGGTTCCTCTTAACCAGGACCGGCCTTACAGGTGGGCAACCGCCCTGGGCGCTCTGGTCAGGAGGCTGCAGAAGGGTTGTGCCCACCCGGAAGGCAGCAGGAGGGGATAAACGGGGCTGCAGTGCGGGAGCCACACACTCTCACACATCTCCACTCCACCCCCCTGGCAGTATGATGCCTGCAGCGCCATCGCTGCTCCACCTGCTGCTGTTCTGCCTGCTGAGTGGCCTCCCGCTGCTCGGGGAGCAGTACTTAAAGGGGGCCAAGGAAAGTTCATCTAGGGTGCCATTTTCCCTTGGGCCAGCCCTGCTCTTAACAGTACAAAACAGAACCAGTTCATGCCCCCACCCAGAAATCTGGGAAAACTAAACACCACCCCTGGGTACGTCTACATGGGGATAAAAACCCACAGCTGTCCCGGGGTCAGCAGACTCGAGCTCACAGGGTTTAGGCACCAGGGTTGAAAAATTGCTGTGTAGACATTTGAACTCAGGCATCGGTTATTGCAATCTGTCCCTACACCAGTTCTAAACTGCAGCCTCTGGACTAGTGATTTCAGCTCCTGTAATCGCTGAGAAGAAAGGAGAGTTCTTAATTGAGTCTGATCTGCTTTGTCTTTAAACACTAAAAAGAGGAAGGTGACATAGTATGTCAGTCTCTTTGGGTACGTCTTCACTACCCGCTGTATCAGCGGGTAGCAATCGATTGATCCGGGATCGATTTATCGTGTCTCGTTAAGACGCAATATATCGATCCCCGAACACGCTCACCGTCGACTCTGGAACTCCACCAGAGTGAGTGGCAGTAGCGCAGTCGACGGAGGAGCTGCAGCCGTCGATCTCACGCCGTGTGGACCCCAGGTAATTTGATCTAAGATACTTCGACTTCAGCTACGTGAATAGCGTAGCTGAAGTTGCGTATCTTAGATCGATCCCCCCGCCTAGTGTAGACCAGCCCTTTAAATAGCAGCCACACCACCACATAAGTGTGCATGTCCCCACCCCCTCTGGCTTTCACTTGGACATGGCATTACTACCCCCCTGCTTAGCGAGTGAGGTTGAATTTAGGAGTACTTGTGGCACCTTAGAGACTAACAAATTTATTAGAGCATAAGCTTTCGTGGACTACAGCCCACTTCTTCAGATGCATATAGAATGGAACATATATTGAGGAGATATATATACACACGTACAGAGAGCATGAACAGGTGGGAGTTGTCTTACCAACTCTGAGAGGCCAATTAAGTAAGAGAAAAAAAACTTTTGAAGTGATAATCAAGCTAGCCCAGTACAGACAGGTTGATAAGAAGTGTGACTTATCAACCTGTCTGTACTGA